CACACACACACACACACACACACACACACACACACACACACACACACACACACACAGAACCGGTCCTGTAAAGTGCAGTTAAGAAAACGGAAACGCTGGTTTGAGCAGAATCATAAAGGAACTAAAAACATGGTGTTACCCAGAAGCCCTTGCAGATCAGGCCATTAAAGGGAGGTTTGGGACGCGGAGAGACCACACCAGCTGAACAAGAGCAACAAACAACACCTGACACGTCCTGATGGATGCTGGGTAATACAGGACGTTTGTGCTGGTGAGTCTCCCTTTATAAAAGACCAGAGGAACCTGCAGAAGTGCTACAAACACAGAAACAGATGCATTATGGGAAACTAAATAGCTGGAGACACTAGAGGAACTTCAACAGTCCTTACACACACACACACACACACACACATACTCTCGCTTTCAAACACACACACACACACTCACACACATACTCTCGCATTCAAACACACACACACACATACTCTCGCATTCAAACACACACACACACACACACATACTCTCGCATTCAAACACACACGCACTGCAAGGACATGATGATGACGATGATGATGAATATGAAGATTCTTCTTTATAGCTTATAAATACAGTATCTACACAGTATGTGGTACAAAAATAATCAACCTTTTGTGGGCACTGAGATTTTAAAAAAGTGAAAAATGATTGAAAGTGTCTTCTAAAAAGCGGTCAGGCACGAGAAGTGGTCCGTGATTGTGAGCCGTGTGTCATACGTGACCTGCGTCACGCGTCGGCTGCGGGAAGGTTCCACTTGATTGGTTTGGATCGCGTCACTTCCCGTCCGTTTCCCTAAAGCGTCCGAGTCGAGGCGCCGCTGAAGTTCGTCACGCACAGGAGGCCACATGACATCTTCAATACAAAAATAGTAGAAAAATACGAGTACCGTCTTGTTTGGTAGCTCATCTGGCGGGTGATTGAGAGTTTGAGTTTCAGGTCACAGTGTGCTGCTGCTCCGAGCCTGCAGGGGGCGATGGGCCTTCCATCTATTTGGCATGAACGCGTTTGATTCTAAACTCCTGGATTAAGGCAACGTATCACGTCTGTGTGGATTTAATAAAACTTTCTCTTTAAACATTTTTTTTACAAATTTCTTTTAATACAAAGCTCTATGGCATAACCAATAAACACTGTATAGAAAATATATAAATATGTTTTCTTTTTCTTTTAAATGTACAGAGAGCCGCCAGACCCGAGACAGACGCCCATGTGTTTTTCTCCGGTCAAAGTCAGCACGCCGCCGGCTATATACACTGATGCTGTGGGCGGGGCTTAGCGGGCGGGGCTCGAGACGAGTCCGTGCAGGGTGCTGCTTATGTGGAGGTGGGCGGGGCTTACACAGCAGTGGGCAGGGTTCAGGATGAGTCTGTGCAGGGCGGGGCTTATGTGGAGGTGGGCGGGGCTCAGGAGGAGTCCGTGCAGGGTGGGGCTTATGTGGAGGTGGGCGGGGCTTACACCGCAGTGGGCGGGGCTCAGGATGAATCCGTGCAGGGTGGGGCTTATGCAGAGGTGGGTGGGGCTTACACAGCAGTGGGCAGGGCTCAGGATGAGTCCGTGCAGGGCGAGGGCGGCGGCGGGTACAGGTGGTGCGAGTAGCTGCGCTCGGTGTAGGGCGACGGCGGGCAGCTCTCGCAGTTCTCCTCTGCAGACAGGTACTGGCTGCGTGGGGTGGGCGGCGGTGGCAGCGGTTCCGAGTCGTAGTTCAGGTCACTGGTGTAGCCCTTGGCGGCGGCGCTGGATGCGTGCGGAGCCCTTCGGCCCGGCGTGTAGTCGCTGTCGCACACGTCTGTGCTGCAGGGCGTCGTCGGAGGGGCGAAGTGACGGTAACTGTACGGCCTGTAGCTGCAAAACACTCAGAGTCAGACACTGAATCATAAACATTAGCAGGACATTCACCTGACGTGTGTCCGTCCGTTACCTGTACGATCGGTGCGTCGAGGGGCTGTTCGACGAGTAACCGAACTCCATCGTATACTGCGACCTCACTGTGGCGGGAGACGGAGGGGGATTCAGGATCTGGAATCATAGCAGAGAAAAGACACATTTACATTTAAATGTGTTTTTTAAAACCAAATTTAATCTAACTATAATAAATAATAATAAAGTAATAATAAATATAAAGTAAAACAACAAATATAATAATAAAATTAATATTCAATATATACACATGTACTGAAGCTAGTTTACAGTGGGTGTAGAAAAGTATCAGCCCCCTTTAAAATAATCACATTTTGTTGCTTTGCAGCCTGAAATGAAGACGGACACAGTTTTTGTTTTATCAGCTGTATTTACTCAGTGCAACTTATAAGATCCAAGTGAAAGATAAAACACAAACATGTCAGAAAAAAAATAAAAACAGAATCTCTGAGTTGGAAAAAGGATCACCCCCTTGTGTCAGTATTTTGTTGAACCACCTTTTGCTTTAATTACAGCCTTTAGTCTGTTGGGATTTGTCTCTACTAACGTTGTACATCTAGACTGCAATATTTGCTCACTCTTCTTTGCAGAGATTCTCAAGTTCAGTTCAATCTGATGGTGAGTGTTTGTGGACTGCAGTCTTCAGGTCATTCCACAGATTTCAGTGGGGTTTCAAGTCTGGACTCTGACGAGGCCATGCAAGCACATTCAGCTTTTTCTCCTTTAGCCACTGTGTGCTCAGTTCTGCTGTGTGCTTTGGGTCATTGTCATGTTGGAAGGTAAACCTTCTTCCCATTGACAGCTTTCTGGCAGATTTTCCTCAAGAATTTAGATCGTACATAGCAGACTGTTACCATTTTGTCTACTTAAAAATGGTAAAAAATCAGAGTTAACTTCAGTAAATTATGGGGTGCCGCAAGGATCCGTGTTAGGCCCTCTGTTATTTCAATATACATGCTGTCACTTGGCAACATCATTAGGAAACACGGAATTAGTTTGATGATACTCAGTTATATATTTCATTAAGACCAGATGAAATTTCTAAACTATCCAAGTTGACAAAATGTGTTAAAGATATAAAACATTCGATGACCAATTATTTTCTTCTATTAAATTCAGACAAGACTGAGGTATTACTTATTGGACCAAAAACCTGCACACAGAATCTCTTAGAATACAATTTGCAACTAGAAGGATGTACTCTTGTGTCCTCGTCTGCAGTTAAAGACCTGGGTGTTATATTAGACAGCAACTTATCTTTCCAAAATCATATTTCATATGTTACAAAAACAGCCTTCTTCCACCTCAGAAACACTGCTAAGCTACGGAACGTGTTATCTGTTTCTGACGCAGAAAAGCTAGTTCATGCATTCTCGAGTAGATTACTGTAATGCACTACTGGACTAACTCTGGACTTTTAGTAGTACCTTGGATATCCAAGTCCACTAAAGGAGGGAGATCATTTTCCCCTCTGGCCTTTCTTGAGTGGCTTTTTTCTTCATCCCTCACATACAAGCCATGTTTGTGTTTTATCTTTCACTTGGATCTTATAAGTTGCACTGAGTAAATACAGCTGATAAAACAAAAACTGTGTCCGTCTTCATTTCAGGCTGCAAAGCAACAAAATGTGATTATTTTAAAGGGGGCTGATTCTTTTCTACACCCACTGTAAATACTTGTACACTAATTCATCCGAATCAGAGGTCTACTGAACAGATCATTGTGCTGATAGTAGAAAAATTTACATTCTCAATGTGTTCACATTTGTTGTCTTTCCTTTCTGTGACAGGCAGCCCAGAGCGAGTCTACATCAAATGCCACAAAGTTCATCGCGTAACAAAAAACAAGATTTATGCATAACGCTGGACTTCTAATTATAAACAAGGGGGACTCTTATTTTAAAATGTCTTTGCTTTACTACTTCCAGCTACTCATTCAAACAGATGAAGATGATAAAATATGCATCCTAAAAAATCTACAACATATTACACTTTATAAAGCAGATAGTTCCGGTGCTTGATTCTGATTGGCTGAGCTGCGTTCGAAGCTGTTGTAAATGATGCTACAAAGTAACATACACCTTTGTTTACGTTTGTGTGTTGCTCGGCAACCACTTTGTAGCAACCACAACTGTTTCTGAGGAGCTACATTGTTTGGTGGAAGAATACTGTTTTTATTAATATTATTACACTTTATTTGCGCCGTTTTATTTTGTGAAACCTTACTACGTATATGGAATAACTGTTTTATAAAAGCAATAATCCCCGTGAAGCCGTGGTTTACAGTGAATTTATAACAGCTAAAGGGGTTTTAGGCACTCCGCTTCAACACCCCTTAGCTGTTATAAATTCACTGTAAACCTCGGGTTCTTGGGGCTTATTGCTTTAATAAACAAAGTAAACACTGTCATAATTCATTAACAGCAGATCATAACCAATCTATTGGCATATCTATTGCGAACCGTTCTGAAAACGTGAGCCAAAAAATGCATTACTTTTTAATTCAACTGAAGCCTTTTAAAGATTAATGAACACATGACATAGTTTTTCCTTCCCCAAAATGATAATGACTTTCCCCCCACATTTTTCTGGCCTGCGGTGACCCTGACAGACAGCGGCGACTGACCGGAGGAAAGTATGGGCCCTTGGTGCTGGAGGAGCTGCTGGACGAGGCTCCGGTCACATGTGCTCGATCATACAGAGGACCACTGCTGCCTCCCATGATGCTCAGTGAGCCGATGACCGACTTCCCACGAGACATGCCTGAGAGAGAGACACAGGTCAGCAGGCGCTCAGACGCACTACACCTGTACAGCGAGGCGTTCCTGTCACCTGTCAGCGAGCCGCTCAGAGAGCCGGGGTGAGGCACGTATCCCAGAGGCACCGGCGGCGGCCCGTGCACCACGAAGTCATTGGTCATGGTCTCGCCGTCGTCCTTCATCTGAGGACACAGCACACGCTGGCACACGAAATACACAGCGCCCACCACGAACAGCAGCATCACCACACCCACGATAGAGCCGATGGTGTTCGTGGGAGGAAAGGACGGCTCTTCAGTCGCGTCTGAGGAAGAAAACAGAGCATCTCTTACCTGCTGCTTTAACAACACTAGGGCTGGGTAAAAAATATAGACATCTCGATATTAATCGATTCTCATTGTTGCGGAACGATATCGATTCTTAAATCCCAAGAATCGATTAGTCTAGCCTGTTTTCAGTTAATGGACGGAACATTGAAAGACACTTCTCATCCAATAAATCGCAATAAGCATTGTGCTTTGTTACTTTTAATATGAAACAGTCTCAGATTTCAAATTCTGTCCATTGTATTGCAGTATTCAAGCAATAAATGTTGTTTTGGCACTGTTTAATGTGGAGTGATCGCTGAACTGATCATCTCCTCTGCTTTATTACTAGTTATAGCACAAAATAAACATGACTAAACATCCGAAGGTAAGTTAAAAGAACTTAGGAGACAAGTCTCCTGTCTCGTGTAATCTCTCAATCAGTGTTTCAGCCGCGCAAAGATGCCAATATAACGACTTGTAAACAATGTCACGTCACATTTACCTCAGAAAAACATATTCGTAACCATAAACTCATTAGTCAGCCAGAAAAATAAACTGTAGAGAGGGGCATTTTGCTTAATATATGCACCATATAACATATTCATTATAACTTTGACTGTTCTTCAATGTTTAATTTATGTTTTAATAAATCCATCAAGTCTTTATGACAGCCAGCATTATGTTTATATTAAAAAAAAAAAGGAATTGAAGTAGAAATATTATGTAATTGTAACTTTATTATTTTAAAACTTCATTAAGTGTAATGTTAACAAATCAGTCAGTTTTAACCTTCAGTATTATAGTAATGTAGTACCAACTGACTCTCGTGTGTATTTTACAGCATTAGTTGAGAGATTTTTTTTCACTTTACATTTCCAGTAAATGTATCTTGATTTTAGGATGTTTAGATAATTGTGCTGGAAATCAAGGCAAAAATACTGAGGAAATTCATCTTTTGAGTCTGATTTAAGGCTTTTAACTGGATTAAGACCAGTCGCTCTGAGACACATACAGCAGCCGATCTCATCCGAGTTGTCTGTGCAGTCCGTGTTGTGGTCACACTTCTTGTGCCGCCCGATGCACTGGCCGTTGGCGCAGGTGAACTGATCCATGGGACAGAGAACTGAAGAGACAGACAGGAAGTGTGGGTGAATCAGGCAGGAAGTTGCTCTCAGACCGCGAGGATCGGCTGGCGATGGTTACCTTCACATTTGTTCTCATCGGACCGGTCCTGGCAGTTGATTTCTCCGTTGCAGCGCAGAGAAAAGTCCACGCACTGCTTGCTGTCGCACTGGAACTCCTCCTCGGAGCAGACGGGACAGTCTCGCTCGTCGCTGCTGTCGTCACACTCAGCGAAGCCGTCGCAGCGCCAGGCCTGCGGGATACAGTCCACCTCGCCGGACACACAGGAGAACTGCTCCGGAGAACACGTCGGCGGCTCTGAGGACATATTATACTATATTCATATATGGTTCAATCGTAGATTATTATTAGCATTAGTAGTAGTAGAAAATATGTGACCTTCTCTGTGAAATCCAGGCTAAAGTCTCAACATCTAATTATGAGGTAACAAGCATCAAAGTTTGATTTCAACCATTAATTTCACTAAGATTTCAATCTTTGACATGATCTCACTCAGCCAGTAATAAAGATATCAATGTTACATTTTCACAGAATGTTATCTTATGAAGGATGATTTTATATAGAAAACAGTAAATCACCAAAAACTGACTTTAGCTGGGTTTTCACAGACAGGGTCACATATCACAAATGTACTTTATTCTTATTTTTGTTACTACTTTTTTTCCCCTCTTTCTGTCTCATGCATTGAAAGGCTGTGGAATATGTTTGTACGACACATTCTATGTTCATTCATATATCTCTCTGTGGTTTGGGTATATTCTTTTTGTTGTTGTTTGTTCATTTTTCTCTATTTTCGGTCATGTCTACTGCCCTATTTTTCCATTTTTGTCACATTTTCAATTAAAAAAAAAAAAAAGAATGAAACCATATAATCGCCCAGATGTGAAGAAAGTTAAGGGATAGTTCACCTAAAAATGACAAAAACTGCTGTTAATTTTCACCCTCAGGCCATCCAAGAAATAGGTGACTTTTTTCTTCAGTAGAAGAGTAAAGAAGATTTTAGCTGAAACTGTGCTCCTTGGTGATTCGTACAATGCAAGTCAATGGCTGCTTGCTCTTTGAGAGTCAAAAAAGGCAGATCAGTCTCCTGACGATGAAGCGAAATGTTGTAAATAATGTTCAGTTTCTTGCACAGAGCGACCGTTTCGCTTCATAAGAACTCTGGGATTCATTCTGTGTTGCCTGATCTGCCGTTTTTGACTCTCAAAGAGCAAGCAGCCATTGACTTGCATTGTATGAATCACCAAGGAGCACGGTTTCAATTTTTGTCATTTTTAGGTGAACGATAGCTCTAAGATGATTCTAAACATTGACAGCATGATTTCCCGTACCTCCGCAGGAGAGCTCGTCCTGCAGCAGCACCAGGTGAACGGGACACGAGCAGCGCGTGGATCCGTCTCCCTTCACCAGGCAGATGTGCGAGCAGCCGCCGTTATCAGACGTGCAGGGGTGTTTATCTGCAGACACACACACACAGCATCAACACACACTCCAGCCGACGCTCTACCCATGATGCTCAGCGAGAGACGCTTACTGTACTCCTCCATGCGCAGCTCGTGGACGGCGTGGATGTCGCTCAGAGAGGCGATGCGCGCCTGGATCTTGGTGCGTCCCTCGCGCGTGATCTTATCGATGCGCTCGATCATCTGCTGCTGCCGGTCGATCCAGTACAGGAAGTTCCCAAACACCGTCAGACCCACCGGCTGCAGGATGTTGGAGTCCTCGATCACGATGCGATTGGCTCCTGGAGGAGAGAGGGGAGTGGTCAGGGACGGAGGGGCGGGGCCAAGGAAAGCATTCATTGGACAGGGAGATTCTGGAGACGATTAGTGATGTTGATCAGCTGGTCAGTGCGTGACCTTTGACCCCAGGATCTCACCGGACAGGTCGCTGCTCTCGATGCGCCTCAGGTCCATGTCGACCCAGAAGAGTTTTCCCAGCTCGTTGTCGACGGCCAGAGCGACCGGCTTGCCCAGATTACTGAAGAACAGCACCTCGCGCTCCGTCCCGTCCAGAGCGGCGCGCTCGATCTTCGGAGAACGCTCCTGCAGATTGGTGAAGTACATGTACCTGCGGAGCAGACGCCAGACAGTGAGGAGACACGGCTACAACTCTTCTGTAGTACAGGTATCTGAAATATTGTGCTTAAATATGCAAACGAGGCATTATCTAAGTAAATATGCACTCATTTGCATACATCTCTATTAGGAGTGTAACTGTTCGGTACAGCAAAAACAAAGAAACGCCAGACAAATTTCCTTGATTTTTAAATTTTTTTTAAATTAAAACTAGTATCATATGATTTTTAGATCAAATATTTTAGACTTTGGAAGGCCTTTTGACTTTTGCCATTTATCTAAGATGATTTTGGAAGCTTTTTTAACAGAAGCAGTGTTAAGTCACTGGGGTATATTTGTAGCAATAGCCAACAATACATTGTATGGGTCAAAATGATCGATTTTTCTTTTATGCCAAAAATCATTAGGATATTAAGTAAAGATCATGTTCCATGAAGATATTTTGTAAGTTTCCTACCGTAAATATATCAAAACTTAATTTTTGATTAGTAATATGCATTGCTAAGAACTTCATTTGAACAACTTTAAAGATGATTTTCTCAATATTTAGATTTTTTTGCACCCTCAGATTCCAGATTTTCAAATAGTTGTATCTCAGCCAAATATTGTCCTATCCTAACAAACCCTACATCAATGGAAAGCTTATTTATTCAGCTTCAGGTGATGTATACATCTCAATTTCAGAAAATTGACCCTTATGACTGGTTTTGTGCTCCAGGGTCACATATGAACAAACTTTCAGACACAAACACGCTGGTCTTGCTGTAATGTGCGTCTCTCACCCTCGCTCCGGATTGACCACGATGGCGCGGGGTTTGTCATGTTCTCCGCGCAGCACCACGCCGACCCGTGACCCGTCGATGCGCGTGACGTTGATGACGTTGGTCACTTCGCTGGTCCAGTAGATGAAGCGGCTGTAGACGTCGATGCTGAGGTCGTAGGGCTGCAGGCCGAGGCTCGCGCTGGACACCACCGTCTCGCTCTGAGGAACAACACAACAGCGGTCAGACGAGTCCAGAGCAATCCCAGCAGTCACCGGGGCCTCGCCGCAGCGCTCACCTGGTTCCCGTCCTCCTGCGCGCGGCGGATGGCGTTCTGCTTGGAGTCGATCCAGTACAGCTGGCGGTCGAGCGGGTCGTAGTCGATGGCGCGCACGTTTCTGAGGCTGTGGATGGGCAGCATGATGTCGGGGCTCTGCAGCTCGTCGATGACCATGCGGTTGATGGCTGTCTTCTGACTGAACAGCAGGAAGGATGTGGGCGCTGACACACACACACAGAGACGATTAACCTTTCATCATCAAACAGTGAGCGTCCGCTTCCAGTTTACTCCTAAACCCCCTCACACGCACACACTTCATCACAACCCCAAAACAGTGATAATATACGCCCACGGTGTGTCCTTTTAGTATCATTAATAAACTATTTCAGATTTTATTTTTTTTTACTGTTTTATTTCAATACAGTTCAATATAGTCACCAAAATTATTTTTTATTGTTTTTAGTTTTATTTCACAGTTTTTTGCACCCTCAGATTCCAGATTTTCAAATAGTTGTATCTCAGCCAAATATTGTCCTATCCTAACAAACCCTACATCAATGGAAAGCTTATTTATTCAGCTTCAGGTGATGTATACATCTCAATTTCAGAAAATTGACCCTTATGACTGGTTTTGTGCTCCAGGGTCACATATGAACAAACTTTCAGACACAAACACGCTGGTCTTGCTGTAATGTGCGTCTCTCACCCTCGCTCCGGATTGACCACGATGGCGCGGGGTTTGTCATGTTCTCCGCGCAGCACCACGCCGACCCGTGACCCGTCGATGCGCGTGACGTTGATGACGTTGGTCACTTCGCTGGTCCAGTAGATGAAGCGGCTGTAGACGTCGATGCTGAGGTCGTAGGGCTGCAGGCCGAGGCTCGCGCTGGACACCACCGTCTCGCTCTGAGGAACAACACAACAGCGGTCAGACGAGTCCAGAGCAATCCCAGCAGTCACCGGGGCCTCGCCGCAGCGCTCACCTGGTTCCCGTCCTCCTGCGCGCGGCGGATGGCGTTCTGCTTGGAGTCGATCCAGTACAGCTGGCGGTCGAGCGGGTCGTAGTCGATGGCGCGCACGTTTCTGAGGCTGTGGATGGGCAGCATGATGTCGGGGCTCTGCAGCTCGTCGATGACCATGCGGTTGATGGCTGTCTTCTGACTGAACAGCAGGAAGGATGTGGGCGCTGACACACACACACAGAGACGATTAACCTTTCATCATCAAACAGTGAGCGTCCGCTTCCAGTTTACTCCTAAACCCCCTCACACGCACACACTTCATCACAACCCCAAAACAGTGATAATATACGCCCACGGTGTGTCCTTTTAGTATCATTAATAAACTATTTCAGATTTTATTTTTTTTTACTGTTTTATTTCAATACAGTTCAATATAGTCACCAAAATTATTTTTTATTGTTTTTAGTTTTATTTCACAGTGGTGTAAGAGAATAGTAAACGGCGTGGATGTTTAGACCCGGAAACAGTATTTCTCACGTGACAACCGAACAAGAGCATTATTGTGGCATGTTTGATGCAAACCCACCCCTCGGTCACATGATCACTGCTGCTTCAGTGTGAGGGAGATTAGTCATCGTAACACACACACAGTCTCTCACACACACACATGCACACTGATACACACACACACACACTGATACACACACACATGGCCTGCAGCGATTCTGAAGCCTGTTTTTACTCCGTCAAACACACAAACACAACGAGACGCTCAGGCCTCATACGGCCTTTGGGTTTCCAGCATCTGCCAGCTTGGCTGTGGCTCGTCGACCACAAGAGCTTTAAAAAGAAAATTCCCTGCCTGTGATTTTCGAACAACGGCTCTGCATCTCCAGGAAGGACCCCGGTGTGTGTGAGAGAGAGAGTGTGTGTGTGTGAGAGAGAGAGAGTGTGTGTGTGAGAGAGAGAGAGAGTGTGTGTGTGAGAGAGAGAGAGAG